TTTTGTTTCATTAATTTGTGTCAAATATTGAATTAGTCTGAATTAATGTGTTTAAAAAAATTTTTAATAAAAAATTTGAAGGTAAAAACCTTAATCGTATATAAACTAAACGTTTTGCTTTACCTCCTTACTCTTTCACGATTTCAAAATCTGGAATTTTTATTTAAAAAATATTTTATTCTTTTAAATTCGTTATATTAAAGGAATTTATTTATTTATTTATTTTATCTAAGTTGTTTTTTATTCTAATTTTTATAAAGGTCTAGTGCAGTGGCCGGAAAATTCCTTAGTCAAAAGAGTCAAAAAATCAGCTGGACGATTGAAATTTTTTGAGAGCTAAATGTCTTTGCAAGGAACATTTTTAAAAAATCGGAAATGCTACTAATCACTCTTTCTTTTCAAAAACTTGTTTATGAATCCTAATTTATTAATTGATAAGTTTAAGATTGATAGGTAGTATTAATGTGATAAACAAGGGAAAATATTTTTTATGCTACAACAGAAAAAAAATGAAAAAATACATTAACCATAAGAAAATAATTGCTTGACTTAATAAAAACTAACAACAAATAATTGTTACTGTTAATAAGCGAAAAAGATTATGGACCCAGTAAAATGTTTTTCTATTTTTAAGCGTGCCTGTAAACAATGAAATAAAAATGAAAAAATATATTTAGATAAAAAGAAAAATTTGCAACCAAATATTTACTGCTTAATAACGAAACAATAATTATGAAATAATTTGAGCTACTAAAGAGCAAATTTCGAAGCTCAAACTTTCTGTTTTAATAATGTTAATAATAATTTTTAGTGAATCTTTAAATTCTACTCTATACTAGCAATAAGTAAAACATGAATATTTTACAGTTTCAATTCACTTTTTTGTAATGGAAAATAAGCAATCAAAGTATTTATTTAAATAAAGCTTTCAGTAATTTATTTATCTATTTTATTCCGTAAAATTAATTTATTTGAGGAGTTACTAATGTATAATTGCTAATATCAAACCAAACTATTGAAGAAGGAAAAAATGTAGTCGATTTTCGTTATTTTTTTCTCTAAATGAGCCGACAGAAACGTGCCAACACAGAAGAGAAGACTTCACCCAAAAACAAAAACTCGCCTATGTTACAACACATTCTATGCTATAGATCAGGGATTGGCAAACGACGGCACGCGGGCCAACTGTGACCCGCGGGAAGGTTTTGTCCGGCCGGCGGATAGAATTTTAACTCGCCAATCCGTGGGGAATATAGACTCTATACATTATACATCCATTATTTTGTCTACTTTGTTTAAAGCTATTTCTTTTTTTTTTTTTTAGCAAAGTACTGATGACCATTATACTTTCGCTATATTTGTTCTACAAAACATAAATTGATGGGAAAAGTTAGCACAGACAGCTTCAATTGGTAAAATGTTGAAAGCAGAAGTTCTTTACAGAATAGCCTTTACGGAATACAGTTCTTTACAGAATACAATATTAACCGACATTTTACAGTCAATCCCAAGAAAGCCAACTACGGAGCAGTGTCTGAATGTGAAAGAAGACTAAATGCAGAAAGTTTTCTTAAAGAATTTTCAGGCCGACAAATTTTTTTCGAGAAGATAATCCGTTCCAAGAAGTAGCTACTCATGTAAGTTACATTGTAGCATAAAATATTGCTAAAAATTATAAATCTCTCGGTGATGGGGTAGAGAGTTTGTTAAACAATGTATGCTCCAAGTTTGTGAAGTTTTATGTCCACGCATGAAAAATAATTTGGAGGCTATAAGCTTATAGAGAAAAACAGTGACTTTTAGAATCGAAGCCATCGATAAAAAATTTTCATCATAATTCGAGTCAAAAATTTCACAGTTAAAATTTTGCACAATAGCTATGGATGAAAGCACTGATATAATTGATACTGCTTAATTAGTGTTATTTATAAGAGTTGTTGATGAGAACTTACCGAGGAACTGGCACGCATGTGTTCTTTTAAGGGAACTACCACCGAATGAGATATTTTTCGTGAGTTTCAGGAAGTGTTTTTAGCTTTGAAAGTGGCTATAACAAAAATATGTAATATTTTGACTGATGGGGCACAAAATATGACAGTAAAAAAATCTGGATTCCTTGGACTCTTTAATCAGAACTTTCCCTGGAATAACGTTAGTTTTCTGCATTATGTTATGCACCAAGATGTTCTGTGTAAATCTGCATTGAATATGAAACCTGTGCTTGATGCAGTAGCTTGTTAATACTATTCGATTTCATATGCTTACTCACAGGCAATTCCGAGATTTTCTTCAGTCCCTTGCAATCTGAATGGTCTGGTGTACTGTATCACACAAAAGTAAGGTAGCTTAGTGCAGGATGTGTTTTCGAGCGAGTTTGGCAACTGAAAGAAGACATTATGTCGTTCCTCCATGAGAAACAACCTTCAGCAGAGTGTGAAATATTAGAAGATACAGAATGGCTTTCAGGGTTTGCATTTTTCGCAGATCTTCTTCGTAATATGAACAACTTGAATGGTAAGATGCAAGGGAAAAATCACTTCATCGATGATATCTGTACCCATCTCAAAGCTTTTAAAATGAAGCTTAATCTATTCATCATATTAAATATTTAAATCAAAACTTGAATATCATTTTTTTCTAGAAGTTTTTACTCGACCTACCAAATTTTTTTTTCCTCGATTATTTACCCTCGACCAAAAAAGTTTGCCCATTCCTGCTTATAAGCGTGGTTGCAACCACGTACGTGGAGATACATCTTAGAGATCTCTGCTGGATTTGGGAATATTATTTTTTTTTTTTTTTTATCTACGAGATATCTCAAAGATGTATAGTGGATATTTATGGCTGTGTGGGATGGGTTATTCCAAAAGAGAGATGGATACATAAAAGTATAGTAGAACTACTCTTCAGTTGGAATAGATGTGCTATAAAAATTGCAATCAAACACAATTCAGACAAAGATGAATAACCTTTTTTTGTGAACCTGCAAATTCTGTGAAAAACCTACTGTTGAAGGAGAGTTCAAATGTAAAAGTGGCAAGTGGATGATCCGTCAGGTTTTCCTGTAACAAGAATCAAGTTATAATAATTTCTGGTAAAACACTTAATTGAGGGAGAATATATTTAAATGCGAGAAATTTCGCAGAGTTCAGGAGCAATAACTAAATCAATAGTTTCGTTTAGAAGTTTCCTTTGACGAGTATGCCCACAAGATATTACACTTTTAGAAAAACTAACGGTTTTGTTAAAATTGCCTTTCAACAAAATAGTTTTTTTCGAGAAAAAATTTGATCCTATATCGGCAAAGAAAATAGCATAGGAGTAGAAACTACCGGCAATAGAAGTTGTTGGGATACCGTGTCTTCAAATTTGAGATTTGCAAGAGTGTTCATTTTAGATGGTCGGAATGAGGATGATTAAACTGAGAATTTTATAACCTCCTCCCTCATGTTGAGGACGAACGAGGAATTCTTAAAAACTTTTGACAGTAATTAGTTGTAAGGGTTGAAAAGTAATTCGAACGAAATAAGTAGGTGGTTCCTAAAACAGAAAGAGCAAGTTATTATACTATTTCTAGTTTTAAACAAGTAAAGATGTTATATTCTAATGGATCAATCTCACTGAATGCGGTTCACTCATTACCGATCTCCACAGTAAAAAGTTAAGAGCCTGATTAGTGAGTTTTTCATGGAAAAATATTTTTTAGCACCAATAGGGTTCTCATTCTCCCTCGACAATGATCGAAAGTACGTGAACCGCATTCATTGAGAATGGCTCTTAACACCAATAACCAGAAGAAAATAAAAGACAGGTTACATTTAAACTCGAATTTTTCTACTGATAAAAATGCAAACACCTACCGTTGTTGTTTACCTTTGTCTCGATGTTTTGTCTCCTTATGTTAATAAGTATGTATGGTATTTCACCTCCTGTATGCTTCTTGCTTCAATTCGCTCCCTCAGTGTGTGACCTACCGTATTCTAGTGCTCCCATTATCGCTCCAAGAAACTCGCTGATGATTAATTGTTTTAATTGAACGTTCTTTGTTAGTAAATTTTTTTATTTGAGAAAGTTTCTAATTGTATAACCATTTGATTTTAAAATACATTGATAGGACAGTTGCGGGACAGAGTCACAAACAACACGATAAGCTCTTTACAGCAACCTAATGTCCCGCAGTGGACTGATCGTTAAGACACGGTTCACAGTAGATCAAAAAAGTTAAGCATTACTGTCACTGGCATGTGGTTGATCACTTTGTTCCGTCAGCGCAGGAACCAAGGGTATGCGGTATTTTTCCTCGCTAAACAGTTCATCCGTAAAGTAGACTTCACACACAGGTTATCGGGTAACCGAAGCGGGGGTGAAATCTCCCTTTCTGAGGATCAAAATTGCGATGGCGTGTCTTCGCATCATCTTCAGGGATTTATCCCAGACCGTCACCAAAAGCTCATTGTGCAGCTCCAGTGCGACGTTAGTAAACTAGAACAGCAACCTAACACTATGAAGTTATAATCGAATTGAGTAATAAATAAATCAATATGAGTTAATAATCAAATTTTGCCATGACTTAATTTTTAACGTTAGCTAGAGAATTTTTATTTTTCGTTTAACTGATGAACGTATCAAAATACATTCCTACGGACCATTCTCACTTTATCTATTGCGCACATGGTTCGAATTGACACGTACCGAAGGACCGTTTGCTATTTTTTTCAGGAGCAAAAATTTCGCATACGAATGAGAATCAGATTGGTGGACTCGTGAAAAACTCGGCAACGAGGTTCTCATTTGCAGGCAGTAAGAATGATCCTTATGTTTTTCCTAGTGGAAAATAAAGACTCTCTCATTCGTGAAGGGAAAAAAAGGAAGCAATGGGAACGATTCATAAAATTATTCTTGCATCAAAAAGGTTTCGAATGGTTTTCGTCAAGAGCATTGATATTTCTTTGCAAAATAACTACATGCTGCTCTACCCAAACGTTTATGAGTCGCAGTAAGAATATCAATTAAAAATATCGTACCGTTTGCCTGATTTCGGATAAAGTTGTTTAGAATATTCTTCAGCCCTATTGCGGTTAAAGAGGCGCTGTTGATCATTCACAGTAGAAGTCAATTTTTTGTCCTATTTACATCTTCGAAATTGGAATTAAGTGAATTACGCTATGGCGGAGGAAGATTCGGGTCCCAAAATTACAATTCATATCAAAACTGCAAAAGAAAGAAAATCTATTGAAATTGAAGAAAATGCAACTGTAAAGGAGGTAAACTCCATTTTTTTCTTAAAGTGTTACCTTAAAGAACGTGATGAGCTATACTAATCGTTTGAGATGACATATTGCGCAAACGCATATATATTTTTTTGTATTTGTTTTTAAAATTGGTCGAAGAATTGCTCACTTTAGTTTCTAAGATAGAATACTATATGATGTATCACTGTTAATTGTTTAAATAGCTTTTTGAAGTGTAATTTAACATTGTTATACATTACATATCAAACTGTAACTACGGAAATCTGACGTCACATACTTTCCATCTTCCTCTTACTTTTTGTTATACATTTCCCTATTTTTTAGTAAACTTCCTCAACCTTCTGTTCAGTAATTTTAAACATTAAATTTTATTTTGCAATGTGGATTATTGTATAATTTGTTTTTTAGAATTTTCTTATTAGTTATTGCCAATTCTGAAAAGAATTCACTGATTTCTGATTTTTCAACAAAACAATGAATCATGTTGTGATAATGGATTATAATTATTTGTGATCTAATCAATCCTAATATGCAATGCTAAATTATTCTTCCTTGTTGACAAAATCACATACATGTATATATTTCTGTGTTGTGCCTAAAATAGAAAGTTTTTTCCCAATTTCTTTCTTGAATATAATATAGTGGTTTATCATACAGTAGCTGGCCAAATTAAAGCATAAAATCAAATAATATGAATTATAGTTTTATAAAAATTCTTTTCAATTATATTTTAAAATTATGAGCTTAATAAATTAAGATTGTGATTTTATATGACTATCATTTTTAACTAACTATGACTATCATTTATTCATTAGTAATATAAAATACAATGTATTATTTGGAGGTTAATTATCTCTAAAGTAACTTTCAAATATGTAAGTTATTTTAATTTTTTCTTCTAAGTGGCGTAAAGACCTTCATTTAAGTAAATAAAATCATTAATCTAATGTAACTCATTATCTTTCGAATTACATATAAAATAGATAGTTAGAATTTTATGTAGACAAATGATATACATATTTAATGTTTTCCATTATTAATTTAATAAAGTTTTATTCCTGCTAATTTTATATCAATATAATCGCTTAATAATTATGTAATTCTTACAAGTAAGTGACTAGTTATTGGAGATGTAGATAAAGGATATAGGTCTAAATTGAAAGCTACCACTTTCTTATCTATGGTTTGACATTTATAATCAGCAGTGTTATGTAATTGAAACTTTACAATCTTTATCTACTCAATCTATTATTTAAACAAGTCATCACCCAGAATGAGTACTTTGGGATTATGACAGTTTATAATTCTTTCTTTTGGGATAGTAATTTGAATGGCCTATAGAATAAAAAAAAAGTGTTTTACACTATTTGGCAGCAAATAAATCTATAATGCATAAGAAAGAACAATTGTTCATAGTTCTTGAAACAAATCTTTTAACATTGAAAGTCATAGTTTTTTTATGTTATTGCCTAAAGTGACAATAAAAGAATAAAGTCTATCAAAAACCCTCCTTTTAAAATGCAGTTCTATAACTGAAACAGCAAAAATATAATAAAACAAAATGAGCTTCTCAATTCTTAAAACAAAGTTCTAATACGTGTCAAAAAAACAAAATTCTCTTGTCTGATATAATTTTAAAGAAAAAGCAGCAGTATAAAAACTTGTGCTTCAATATAGGTACTAATCTAGTTTCAATTCTTCAAAGTTTATTTTTCAATTTGTTTTCCATAACATAAATTTGCAAGCACATGAATTTTAGAACTTAACTAATATATGTGAAAAATATTTCTATTAACGTATAGTTAAAAATCTGATTTTATGTTATTTTTTAAAAAGTCTATTCAAATTTTAAAAAAAAGTTTTATCGAAAAATACTTTTACAAAAAATGCTTTTTGACCTAACATTCTGCCAACCTAATATTCACCAAAAAAGCCAAATAGGTCCAATACTCAACTCATTCATGCCCAGCCATAAAAAGTGGTATATATATATAAAAATAATTTATATTAAAATGTGGTATATTTGTTTGTTACAAATAAATATTTCTTTCTATTGCCAACCACTTTAGTTTTTAAAAAACAAGATGCTCTTACTTAGAATTAAAGTATAAGTGTTCCTCGAAACACCTGTGCTTTATGTTTTGGTAGTATAAATTGTCCTTTTAAAGACTCTTGGCACGAATGGGTTACTAAGGTCTGAATGATCATTACACACTTACGTTAAATAATACTTCTATTTTAATCATATTTACAGGGTATCCGCTCGTCTGGAAAGTCATGAAAAATCATGGAAAGTCATGAATTTTGGTATTGAGCAAAATTTGTCATGAAATGTCATGAATTTAACTTTTTTTAAAAAATATCATGGAAAGTCATAGATTTAGGTTGGCGCTAAATTTTATTTTTAAAATGGAATCCCTCCCAAATTTCATGGTGTACCGAATATCTGAATTTGTAACAAAATCCCCACTCTGAGTCATATTTTATTTAAATATAAAAAGTTTTTATCATTTTCTTTAAAAATTATGCTGTTCTTTCAAAAAAGGAAAGAAAAAACATCATTTCTAGAGCGAAGTATCTTTTAAACTTATGTGATTTCAGAATTATTATTATTCATCTTTTTTTTTTATTTTATCAATTTAAAATTCTAGCTGAAGTAAGCTAGTCATTGGCAAATTTGTTTAATTCCGAAATAAGAGCAGAGAAATCAGGAGTATTTCTTTCCTTTCTGAGGAACAAGAAAAGTATCTTTAGAATATAATTCAGCAGAAAAGAAGAAAAAAAAATTATTTGCTCAGCTATTATTTTTTCAGCTATTTTATTGCTTCAACTATTTCTTTACTCTGTTTTTTAAATTTAAAATCAATAAATATGAAGATGCAGAGTATAACAATTTTGGTTATACCTATCATTTTAATTAATGTTATTATAATGCTTTTTAAATTTATTATTCTGTTTTTTGTCGGAGAAAATAGTAACTTCATTAAGTCATGAAAAGTTCTAAGAATTAGACATGAAAAGTCATGAATTTGAATATCTAAAATGTTGCAGATACCCTGTATTTATTAAATGTAATTTTATTAACCAAAGTTCATGATGTAAGTAAGATGGCTCGGCCATATCTGGAGAGGCTCTGAAGATAGCCCTGTAAAAATTGCCACCTTCAAGAACCCTCAGGGGTCCGGCTCTAGAGGTAGACCATCTACTCGATGGCTCAACGACACCGAAAACGACCTCAAAGTCCTAAAACTTAAGAACTGGAGGGGAGTTGCCATGGACAGAGGGAGCTGGAGAAGGCGTGCTGTTGAGGCAGCCAAGGCCTGCAAAGGGCTGTTGCACTCCTGAAGAAGAAGAAAGTTCATGAAAATATCTTTGAATGATTTGAATAAAAATAAACCGTTTTAAATAAAATGGAAATATGATTTTTTTTTTTAAATTAATAGAATTATGAATCAGGATTCATAATGCTGTTAAATCTTAGCTTAGTTTTTGTTATATTTAATAATGTAATTTTTTAGTGCTAATAGTAAATGATTTGCCTCAATTAAATTGTTTCATTGTTCATAATTATTAAATATAAATATTTAATAATATAATTTTTTAGTACTAATAGTAAATGATTTGCCTCAATTAAATTGTTTCATTGTTCATAATTATTAAATATAACGTAGAATTTTGATTTTGTAGTTAAAAGAAGAAGTAGCCAAAGCATTCAGCACTTCTCTTGAGCAAGTGTGTTTAATTTTTGCTGGGAAGATTTTGAAGGATCATGAAGAAATTAAATCTCATAGTAAGTTTATTTTTCAGTGCAAATCAACATTTAATACATTAAACATGTTTTGTTTCTTCCTTGATATTATGTTTTAAAGCATATTTGTATATTGCATAATTTTTCTCTGCTTTATGTTCATAACCTGATATGAAGTTTTTAAGAACTCGTACTTTTATACTTTGGCATGCCACGAAAATTGTAATTTTAAATAGGTAACTATTTAGTAATTGAAACTAAATGCCACTTACAGTTTAATAGGTGATTTATTTTCTCATTTTCATAAGTTAAACTTATGGAAAAGTTTTGTAATAAAAAACTGAGCTTGGTGTTTTCCTAAGTTTTTGTCCCAAGAAGGTAAAAAAAAAACAAACAAGAAGCATGATTTAAATGGTCAAATCTGAATTATAATTTAAACTGTGCATACAGTCTTGTTATAAAGAATTTGGTTTTAAAATGGCCATATCACATAAACATTTTTAAGAAAATCCTAAAAATTTATAATAAGGTAAATTTTTCCACGTTATGAAAATCATTAAAAATTCTGATTTTTTGTAAATTTATAAGTTCTTACACAAAGTGTTGGTGTAATTTTTTTTTTTCATATTGCATCACAAACACTTCATTGTCACTTAACTGTGCCTTTTCATATTGAAAATATGCACCATTTTCGTTATTGTCATAAAGGGCAATGGCTAAAAATAGTTAACACTTAACCCAGCATTCATAAATAACAGTTACAAACTCATAGCAGCTGTAAAAGTAATTTTATTATTCTATGAATAACATTGTTTTGAGTGACGGCAGAGCCTATGAAGAAAAAAAAATTGACTTCATACTCTTGCTTTGTATAAAGAGCTTGTTAAAAAAATTTCTTGAAAATCTTTAATGTTTAATATTTGTAGCCATGTTTAAAATTTTTTGAATTTATTTATGTTTTGTTGCTTCAAGAAAAATTTCTATTAATTTAGAAAATTTGACATGTTTATTTTTTTTATTAAAAACTATAGATATAAAAGAAGGATTGACTATTCATTTAGTTATCAGAACTTCAAATCGAGTAAGTGAGATTTATTTTCCTTTATATGATCAAATACCTTTTATCAGCTATTTTTTTCTTGTTGTATTTATTCAAATGTTTTTCAGTTGATCATATTTTTTTATTTGTACTATTTATTTTTATCTTTTTATTGAAAATTTTATTTCTGTAAAATCATTCATGTAATGCTTTAATTTAGCTATTCTTTCTTTAAAAAATTGCATTATTAAATGTATTCTAAGATATAATCATATTTTCAACTTGAGTAATTTTTATGTTTTTCAAATCCATTTGTTCAGTCTTGTGTGACTGAGTCATATGACAAGTTTTTTGTCTAATTTTAGGTACTAAATATTAAGATATCTGTGCAAATTTCGCTGTAACTTATACTCCTGTCAGTTAAAAATAATGCAAAATATTTAAAATAATGTTAAAAATAATGCATTTTTCCTTTCAGTTGCTATTTTAGCCATTGATAACTAAAAGTAATATACTTTTTTTGAAAAAGTATGCTGCCATCCCTTAAAAACACCTTTTTATTCAGATTCCATTTTGAAATGAAATTATTCATTGTTTTTAAATAATAACTAACTACACACTTGTAAAATTATTAGTGTTGAGTGTTTACTATAGGTTTAATTCCCAATACTGTTAGAGATATTTACTTTCTTAGGATTATTCCCAACTGATAAAATTTTTAAAAAGTATTATTTTTTTTTGGGAGAGGAAATATTATTAAATTTTTTAAGTGATTTTAAATTTTAAAGCTATTTTTTAAATAAATATCTTTTTTTAATTAAAAATCCATCTTTAAATGTTTATTCTCATAATTTTCAGTTTAAATGATAGAAAAAAGCTTTGAAGTTGTTTATTAATTATTTTTTGCTAGTTTACTTTTTTTTTTGGAAAAAAAAAATATGCACAGATTACCTTTTGTTTAGCTTTTTATTTTTATTTTATAACCTGCAAATTATTCTCTTAGTTTGTTAATGAGAGAGAATTATCATTTGACATATACTTTCATTTGACATATACTTTCATTTGACATATCATTTGACATATAAAATGGTATGAAAGGTGAAAATTGTTTAGCATTAAATTGAGTTTTTACATAATGTCGCACATTTTGATAAATATTTACGATCTTTAGTGAGTACCCTTTCAAAGTGCCGTTTTCAGAGAGGAAGCGCCCTGCTCTTTTTTTTCCCTAGGGAGAACTCTAATTTTACCTTACCTTTCATATTTTTCCTTTCCCCCTTTTCTTAATTGCAGAAAAAGAATAAATGTTGTTTAATATTATTTATTGTGAATAAATTAGTTTAAATGAATGAAGTTCCAAATTTATAAAGTGACTTACGTTAATGAAGAACTTATTGCTAGCCTAAAATATCAATTAAGACTTTCTGTAAGCAATGATTAGCTTTTGTAACTAGTTTAAACCCTTTCGTAGCCACATCATTTTAGCGAAATTAGTTTGAAGATCAGATTTTTTAAGAAATGTTAAACCTTATATTGATCATATCACAGAGATGAGTTTCGTAAGAAACCAAAAAAAGTTTAAAATAGGAATCAAAAAACATTAAAATGTATAAAAACACTTTTTAAAGTAATTGAAAAAGAACCTGAAATTTAAGGAAGAAAAAAGTGTATGTAGAAGCAATTATCCACAGAATGATATCAACATTTTAATAAAAATATTGATGTATGATGTTACTTATGTTTAAATTAGATGAATATGAATCTCAATGTTTGAGTTTTAACTTACTCAAATACGAATCTAATTTAAGAAATTGCATAGGTGTGAATCTTGATTTCTGATTTTAAAATCTCGTTAATACGAACCTGGATGTTTGATTTTAAAATCATATGAATACGAATCTCGATATTTGAATTTAAAATCGTATGAATGCAAATCTCAATGTTTCATTATTAAATTGTGTGAATAGGAATCTCGATGTTTTATTTAAAAATTGTGTGAATAGGAATTCCTATGTATAATTTTTAAGTCACTTGAACACGAAACTTTAATACGAACTGCGATGTTTGATATAAAGTGTGAAAACAGGATGCACGATCTTAAAGCATGTAATTAGGAATAATTGGCATAATAGGTTTGCATAATAGGATAATAGGAAATAATTGGCATAATAGGAAAAAGGAGTTTTTCTTCGGGAGTTAAAAAAAAGAGATACTTTAGCTTAAAGGGTGTTTTTTTCCCCTTTTTTTGTACTTTTGAAAAATGTTGTGTGATCGAAAATTTTGCGCAAAGTTTTTTTTTACATCTTTAATACTTTTTTAATAAAGATGTTTGATACTAAAAAGATAGAAAGATTTATTTCAAATTTTAAGATAATAAGAAAAGTTGAAATTTTTAAATTAGATCATGATTTTTTCTTTTCATGGCGGCTTAACATATTTAATCAAAAAAGATATAATTACATTACTCTTTTTTTTCTTAATTTCATGAAATTCTTACTTAGAGCCGAAAAAATTTTAGCTATAATTTAAAAAAAAAAAAAATTCTCTTCATTGGCTTGATTATTTATTAAAAAATTTTGATACTTTTCCATTTCTCCAGCATAAGTAGTTTCTGCTACTTTATCAATTTATTTATTTTTAAAAATGCCACCTAAAAATATAAAAAACCAAAAAAAAGAGTTGAATTTACTTGCACTCAGTAATTTCACATTGTCAACTTTATCGCTTGCACTGGCGAAATGGAAAAGTACTAAAATTTAGGTACATATTATTAACTCATGAAATTGCTAAAATATTAATTTAAAGTAGGAAAGAAAATTAATTTCTTATCTGTGGTATTTAGATAAGATAAAGAAATTTTCTAAAAATTAGTTAAAATAATAATAATCTAACAAATATGTCAAACATTAATTATACTAATATTTGATAACAATTCTTTTTAATAAGTAAGTTTTATTAAGTAAAAACCAAATTGTAAGAATTTTTTTCAGCAAAACAACGAAAGAAATTGTGAAGACAGTCCTTTGTTACTCAACTACCTGAAAATATCTAATTCTTTTAAAGTTTTTTGGATGCACACATTTAATTTTACGGTATTTTTGAGATAACTTTCATGCAAACAAATTGAAAGGAAGGTGGAAAAAACAATTTGTACAAAATTTCCAAAGAGACTGAACAATGAAATTAAACTTCAGTTTGTGCAGTAAACAGTTTGAAATTTAAATAAAAACTAAATTATATTACTTCATAGTTAACATAGTAAACCATGTAAGTGTTAAATTTTTTTTTTTTACAATTTATCATGTTTTTCTTTCTAACAAGTCAGTGTCCCCTTTTCGTTATTCAGTACTAACCTAGTGACGACAGGCTATTGAGTGTAATAATAAGCATACATATTTATTTAATAAATGTTGCTATTAATTTTGTCTCTATTCATGATTATTTATTGGATCTTAACTTTTTTGTATAATTATATTATAGCAGCAAGATCCACCAGCACCTTCTCCGGTAAGTTGTATTTTATTTTATGTTACAAAATATAAATTTATAAAATTATAATTCAATAAATTTTGTTCACATATTAGTATGTAGAATTGTAAAAAATGTAAATCATGAAATTAAATGTTTTAGTGTATCATCAGTATCGCATGCACCAGTATTGGTGTGTTATTTAGTAATATTGAAAATGTATATAGATTAAGGCTTAAATCTTTTAACTAACAAGTATTTGTCATTATTAAGAAAAAGCAATTAAATAAAACTAGTAATACAATTTTCATGTTTATTTCTTAGTAATCACTTAAGATAAGCTGCTCATACGAGATTAATCCATAATCTGTAATAATTTCAATATGTTCTTCAATATTATCTTTTCAATCTAAGGATAAGTTTTATATTATAGTTATTGAGTATAAATTCAATTTTGCATTTTAAATGTGTATTAAGAAATTAAATAATTTTTTAAAGATGCATTAATTATTAAAGCTAACTATTTTGTTAACAGTTTTTCCTCTTATATCAGTTGATTTAAAGAATCCTGTTTTTTTTTATTATTTATTAGAAATTGTTTAAAATTTTGTCTGTACATATTACTTATTTCTGAGTAATGCCATTTTTCAGAATGTTACGGCGCCACCGCCTTTACCTGGAAACCTGTTTGGATTTGGAGGTTTTGGCGGACTTCCTGGTCTTGGAAATTTGGGGAGTGCGTTAGGTGGTCAAGCAGGTGGTGGTAGTTCTGCATTTGCTGACATGCAGCAACAAATGCAGCGAGAGGTATGTAAATTTATCGACTCAATAATCTGCTAAATTGTTGTGTGCAATTTATGAGGCATAATGAACATTAGAGTACTTTGTAAGAAGTAAATAATTATAAGTAATTTGTTGTAATAAGTTTTTAGCATGATAATTTTTAATTAAATTACCTTATAATTTCTAAGTATAAAAATGAGTTTTTTTTTTATTATTATTAGCCAGGCCGCCAATGATTAAAACCAATACAATTTAATCACGTGCCCTCCACATCATCCAGTTAAGTTCATTAAAAAATGTGGGCGTGGTCATAATACCGGGAGATTAATTTTTTATTGAACAACAAACAGGGCCACACCACGAGACATAATGAACATTAGAGTACTTTGTAAGAGGTAAATAATTATAAGTAATTTGTTGTAATAGGTTTTTAGCATGATAATTTGAAGTTAGAGTACCTTATAATTTCTGAGTATAACAATGAGTTTTTTTTATTATTATTAGCCAGGCCTCCACTGACGACTAAACCCAATACAATTTTATCACTTGCCTTCCACATCATCCAGTTAAGTTCATTATAAGATATGGGCGTGGTCATAATACCGAGATAAAATTTTTTTTATTGTACATCAAACAGGGCAGCACTTCACAAAATTCGTCTGAAATGAACTTTGATTGTCCATAATGTGTATTTTTAAAAATCGTTATCAAAAATGAAGACAAAGTATACATGTAAGAGGGTTACAAATCAATATTTAAGTGACGAATGAACTGACAAATTACGGTTGAGAGGGCGGGTGTAATACACATCAAAACAGGTTTAATTGAAGGTCGAAATTTGAAGGTGTTTCTAATAATCACCTTTCAATTCCTCTATTTCCTCATACAATTAAATCAGTCTTATTTATTATTACATTCGCCTTCATGTACTGTGTATTGTCAGATTTCCTTGTAACCCCAATGTGTGTGCCTTTTTTGTTTTTATTCCTTATTAAACATGCTAATAGCGATCCTTATGTAATTATCTCTATTAACTTGTTAGATTCTTTTTACCTTATGTGGTTTTTTGTTACCAGAGAATACTATTTATGCTGTTATTATTTATTTCTGTGGATAATATTTAGACTAGCATTTTCTGAAAGCTAATTTCAATGAAGGTTCTGTATTAGTGTAATTTTTTATATATTTGATTAAAAACCTTTCTTTTTCTGAAAGCTTACTTAATCTGAAATGCAAGTTGCAGAATAGATGGAAGCTTGCTATAACTATCTTAACGCTAATGTTAAAGAAAGTGAAATTTTCTTTATTCAGCTCAAGCACCTAATTCTGGTTTCTTAGGTCATCTTTCTGGTTTCTGCAATGATTATTAAAATAAACAAAAAAAAATTATTGATTAATAAACAACTTAAAACCTTTTTTCTATTATTTAAACTGTAAAGCATAAGAAAGGGAACATTTAAAGGCACACTTTTTTTTTTATAAAAAAATTTTTTATTTCGAAAATAATTTAAAAATTTTAACTAACTGAAAAAATGAGTAATATTCTAGAAAAGAAAAACTTATTATAAAGAAACCAGTTTAAACCCAACAAAGTAATTTGAAATAGTAATCAGAATTAAACCTATAAACACAGATAATTTAACCCTTTTGTAATTATTATGTAAAGTGATTTTTTTAAAAGGAAATATGATTAAAAAGGCAGTGTTTTTAAGGGGTGACGGCAAATTTTTACAAAGATGGCAAAAGGTTTGCATTTATAGGGATCAGACAGCTAGCAGAGCTGGCTGCCCTTCTAAATAAGGTACAAATGTTATTATAGAATCTTTTACAAAGTGTGGCTAGGGGTGAAGGCAATATTTTATAAGACTGAGAAAATTAAAAAAAAAATAGAATTCATTACAGAGTGGATCCGTATGATCCATATGAATATGCAAAACATTTAAATCTGTCGCTTTATTGTGTTTTTTAAAAGTTGTCATTGTGTTATATTTTTTGAAATACTTTTAAATAAATTATACTAACTATTCTTTTAATTTTTTCTGAAAATAAATTTAAGGTATAGTTTCTAAAGAAATCCTTTGTATGTAAGGAAAAATTATGAGAGAAAATTCAAAATTTATTGTATATGACATATATTAAAAATATATTTTTAAACGGGTAAATTGATATAGAGTTATTTGTATCTACCTCTTTTATAATGTATCAATACTTCATTGTTACAGAATGTCCAGCTTTATTACTAACTAGTGTTAACGTCGACCCCTGGTTTCCACAAATTTTTGGGGGTCTGAAAAATTGACTTCAACACTGATATATATATATTTTTAACTGAAGTCTATAAGTCGAATGAATTGTCACATAATAACACTGCTTTAGGTTCAGTCATCTAGCTTTAATTTTGAAAATAATGCATTGTTTTTAAAACAATGTTTACCTTATATAGAAGCATTATAGTTTACCTTAAGTAGAAGCATTTATTGTAAATGTTATTGATGTTTAATTGTTTTTTTATGTCTTGCTATAATTCATTCTTTACATTTTTGAAAAATTAAATTTAATTTAAATCTACTTCGGTTTTCTACTTTAATATTTGATATTCATGATGCTTTCTACATATTTTTTTTTTATTTATTCCTACAGCTTATGAATAATCCTGAAATGATGAGGCAACTTTTTGATAGTCCTATTGTGCAGTCTCTATTTTCTAATCCTGAAACTTTGCGGGATATGATAATGAACCATCCTCAGATGCAGCAAATTATGGAGGTATCAAATATATGCTTATAGATTATAGAAAAATGTTAATAAATTTTATTATAACTTTAAGTTAGTTTTTTTCTGGAATGGTGATTTTTTTTTTATTGTTTGTACCTGCTAGGTTTGAGTGTAGTATAATAATAGCTTCATGGATCTTTTTAAAAAAAAGAGATCATTGCTCTAAAGTTTTTTTCTAATTTCATGAATTAAACACAATTTCTGATTTTTTTTTCCTTTAAATTCTGCTTAAAATGTTTTTATTTTCTTCTTTGTCATAAGTTTATTTTCAATACTAAGAGGCTGTTATTTTTGTAATAAAAATTATTTATACATAATTGAACCACCCAAATGTGTGGCCCTTGAACAAAATGCTAATAAAGTTTCTTTTCCTTTGAATAACATATGGACCAGTTTTTTGAAAAGAAAAATCACTATCTTAAAGTAAGATTAAAGGAGGGGCCAAACCTGTAAGAATTAAAACTTCAATAAACTATGTTTAATGTCTTTAAGTTTATTTTTTATTAATTTATTTTTTCAAACTTATTTTCACTAGTTTCCCCATTCATTTTAGGATGTCTGCTCCAGGGTGCATAAAATTTTTCAAAAGTGTTAATTTTTGTTTTTTAAAAGCCCTTAAAGGTACTTTTTTCATTGGGGTGTTTGTGATTTTCTCTTTTCCACAGTGCAAATTTTTTTTCTTTGCCTGTCAATTGTTGGCATGAATTTCGAAAAAAGCTTAGTTTTCCTAATGTTTCATTCAAAACACTTATACAGGGTGCTAAACGTTTTTAAAAAGTGCTTAAAGGTGCTTATTTCCGATTTTCGTTTTTGAAAGCCCTTAAAGATGCTTTTTTTCATTGGGTGTTTTGAAAAAGTGCTTAATTTTCCCTTTTTCAAAATGAGATTTTTCCTTTACTATGTTGGTTTTCACTTTGAATTATGCAAAAAGACATAGTTCACATTGTTCTATTCAACGTTTTCATAACAAATTTTAATAACATAGCATTTATATTTTAAATTTATTGAGGTTTTCTCAGATAGCTTAATTCTGTTTGCATCTTTATCAATTCAATATGATTGTCATATTACATTAATCTGGTAAACATTATTATTCAGTATGCATTTATATTTAACTGGTTTAGATAAAAAAAAATCAATATATAAATCATATACCTTTTTTAACTTAAATTTAACTAATTCGAACTTCAAATTAAAATAATTGTTTTTTAATTAATTATAAATTTAAAAAAATAGATTAAGCAACTCTATGTTGAATATATTTTAAAATTGTAATAGTCCTTTGTCAGAAACTAGTTATTTTATCATGATTATGTAAAACCTTTGATATTGTAATTTGTATTTTGAAAATTTTATGTTAGTGTGGATGTATATTTATGTATAACGTATATTGAGAAAAATATTTTAAGATGAAATAAAATAAGTTATTACCTTATAAGAGAATGAAAAGTATCAACTCAGTTGGAGAAAACCAAAATCATTAACACAAAATAGCAAACTAAAAGCTATACCAAATATCACCATGTAAAAGCACTACAAAAAGGAACTAACAAAAAGGAAAAATATTAAAGAAATTATAGTGGAAGCATTGATATACATTGGGGTGCAACCAATGTGGGAGCTGTTTCAGCTGTTGGCAATATATTACTACAATCAACTACAACCCCTACTGCCTCAGGGGAAGAAAAAAAAGACAGACAGACAAAGATAAATACTGTTTTTTTAAAAGTCGAAGTAAAAGTCCATAAAATCGCTAGTTTAGAAAGTTGAAGGTTCAAGTACCAAACAAGTATGTGGGTATGAGAATGTGTAAAAAGATGAAGAAAAAATAACAAATAGAAATAAAATTAAAAAATAAGCTTTATAATTAAATTTAATGACTTTAATAAAACTATTGGAAATATAGATAGGCACCCAATTATGGTTCAAAGTAATCCAACTGAACCTTCAATGCTTGGGTGACCTTTCTGTAGTTTAAAGCTGCACATTACTTCGCCTCAGTAGGCACTCCTCCACTGAATCAGGTATCTGTCCATGCATCCGATTGGAATATTACTAGGGAGAAGTTTAAGTAAAGATTTACAGTTTTTTAAAATAAGTATATCATTGTTGCAAATAAACTTTATGGGATTAATTTGAGAAATAATATTTCTTCCAATACTGATGGATATATATATATAAACTTTTAACATGGGAAAGAAACAATTTTTTTAGTGGGTGGCAGCTACAATTTTTTGTAAAAAAAAAATAAAATAGTATTCTTAAAAAATCTCTGAAAGGTCCTTATTTTTTGTTGAATAATTTGGCTACAAACTATTTTATTAGTGGATGTATTCTGACTAGTAGAATCTTACTCTGAAATATAAATTAAATTACTCAGCCTTATAGTGCTTTTGGCTCTGCATTGCTACAACTGATGCTTCATTCTACGAGCCTTTGAGGGTTTAAAAGAAATATGATTTATTTATCATTGGGGAAAAAATATTAAAAAAGAAAAAACTATTCTCAATAAAACCTTTATTTTTTGTAAGATCTGTGAAATTTTTGCATATTTTTTAATTTATATTATCTAAAAAGCAATTGTAAACTATTAATTATTTGTACATCTCACTTGATATATTATTGACATACTATTTTGATTAAATCTTTAAAATTGTTATTTTTAACTAAAATGAGTTTATAATGTCTGATTTGAACACCTATTAAAAATATGTAAAAAACATTAGCCTATCATTTGTCACACTTTAATTGACTTTGTTATTACACTATGAAAATAAGTCATTTCCTATTTAGATTTAATAAAAAATCTGAGTAAATGATTAGTTTAATAGCATTAAAGTAAAATTTAGTTTATTTTTTATTTTTAATTGCTATAATTATTTTTTCAATGTCAAACACTCAAATTGATCTGGAAACTTTTTTTGCAAAAATAAGAGGAACAGGATTGTGAAACTTGTTTATTTGTGATAAATCTAATTACAATCTCTTCTTTAAATGACTTATTCGTGTGCTAAGGCTGTTTTATCACTTGATATTTAAGTAATTTCTATTATAAAAACTCGTTTTAGAAGGTATATTTTTTGCTATTTAGTAATTTTTATAACATTGTTAAGAAATCTTAATTTCATTCTTAATATGAAATCTATTTTTTTAAATCATATTTTTATATTATTTTTGTATTTACTGTCTGATTATTTGCAGAGAAACCCTGAAATCAACCACATATTTAATAATCCTGATCTTTTGAGGCATACAATGGAAATAATGCGGAATCCAGCAATGTTGCAGGAAGTAATGAGGAATCAAGATAGAGCATTGAGTAATATTGAGGTAATTTTTACGTTTTTAAATAAATTTTACCTTTCAATGAGCATTGTACCACATTCCTATTTAATAAAAGTCAAAACCATTTATTTGTGCTGAAAACTAGTAGGTTATTTATTTAATGACTAAAATGAGTCAAATACTTAGTCTTATAGTGCTAAGCCTATGTTGCTACAATTTCATACTTCATTCTACACACTTAAGCGAAAGTAAAAGAAATGTAATTTACTTATCATTGGGGGGAAAATATATATATAAAAAAATAACAATTAAATATTTTTTTTTTAACCATTTGATTTGAATATTTTCTGTTCTGTATTCTGTCTACTATTTCTTAGTTAAGATTGAAAATAATTTTAGTACGTTATTGGTTAGAAACAGATGGAAACTTAGCAAAATTTATTTGAATATATTATTAGATGTATATGTTTTTGTCTGCCAAGTTTCATGTAAGTTCCTTTCAAACATTTGCTTTGTGACATTGTTCTAACCATCCCAGAGAGAAATTAAACTTTACTTTTTTAAATATCAATTTTTTTTTCTTCCAGAAACTATTTTTTGTTTCAAAACTATGATATGATCAATGTTAAATTTGGAGTGATTTTTTGCAGAGTGTTCCAGGTGGCTACAATGCATTGAGAAGAATGTATACTGAACTCCAAGAACCTATGTACAATGCAGCTCAGGAACAGTTTGGAACAAATCCTTTTGCATCTCTTGTTAGTGACACGGGAGGTAATTGTAACTTTTATTGCAACTTAAGTCAAACTCCTATAAGAAAATTCTAAATTTAAGATGCAAATTCATGTGGAAAAGTGATTGAGTTTGAAAAAAAGATCGAAAGAACATTATGTGTAAATTTTGAGATATAAGAGCTGTTATTAGAAAGAAATGACATTTATTTCCTTTAAGAATGTAATTGATTAAAAACATTTTACATATTCATCAGAGATGGGTAAAATATGTAATTATTTCTTAATAATTCCTTTTTTGGTGTCTGTAACAGCTGATGAATAAGATGAAACCAAAAACTTAATCTACATATAAAATTGCGTAACCTTTGCACAGAATTAAAAGCTAATATGACAATAAAATAAATCATAATATAGTTCAGATATTGTGAAAGAAACCATATTGTAAGGCTGTTTAGTACTTCTTATTCCTTTATAAGAGTGTAAATTTGTCTTCAAATCAGTATTTCAATATGCAAGAAGGAAATGAGATTACAAAAGAACCATTTTTCATTTAAAGAAATCGTGGATTATTAACTAGAAATTGCTACTAAAAAACAAAGCTGAACCTCCTGTACCTCAAAATTTTCTTCCTTCGCCTTCATAAGAAAAAATAATGAATTGAGATATTTTCAGAAAAAAATGTCAGTTATAATAATGTATAGCAAAAATTGGATGATAGAAAAGAAACCATGTTCTTTTGAAGGATATGATAAGTATATAAGCATTAACTAGGGCAGTAAAGTGCATAATGTATTATTGCTTTACAATGACAAAGAATGACATAAATCTGTATCTGGCTTGAAACTCAATTTCTTGCAAAACATAGTACCAACAAGATTTTTTTAAACTGCTTTTAAAAAATACTGCTAAAAGCAAAAGAGTTTAATTACATAAAAATTACTAAAACTATAGCTTAAAATAGTCATTAGAGAATGATTTTTGTTTTATTGTTATTTGAGATTTATTTTATTTATAAATTTTTATTTTATTTATTTTTCTTTAGTTTTTTCCTTGTAAATTATTGGAATTAAATTTGTGTTTTACTTATATGTATATCTTAAAATTTTGTAATTTATAATTATAATAAGTATTTGTTTATAGAACTACAAAATGCACATCTGTTTTATGGTTAAATTTTCTATAGCCAATTGTTAAAGTTTTAGTTACTCAAACGGATGTTTAATTTGTTTCTTCTGAAAAAAATATATGAATTCTATTATACAGTAATTTCTGGTAAAAATGCAACAGTATATCTTGTAGTGCAGCTTATTTGGAGATTTCATTTTTCCATTTGGTTCCCTCAAGAATACTGTGAGATGTGGGTTTAATCAAAAATAAAAGTTTACAAAAAATTCTGAAATAATGGACCCATAGCATTTTGCTCTGAAAATGGTATATTTTTTCTAACTTTTGACTGTTTTTCTATTAAAATATGATAGAATAAGACAAGCTTTTTGATTGATGATTATCAACGTACAAGGCCACCTACAAATGCGTAACAAATTATAATTTCTAACGTAAAAATGGTTACATGTCTTTCGTGCTTTATGGATGCGTTAAAAGTTTGTTTTAGATTAAGACAATTGTGTAACGCAGAGGGAAAAAAATTCATCAAGCGACAAGAAATGACAAGAAGAAGCTTTGGATACGCTTGAAGCTTTGGATACGCTGAGTTTGTTTTCATTTGTGTTACACTGCTGACAAAATTTATTTTCTCTCTCTTCTACTGGAAATTGTATTGATAGTATTGTCAGTTATTGATAGCATTGTCAATGGAAAAAAAAGAGCATCTTTGAGCTTTCAAATAATTTCACTGATTTTTTAGTCTTTTTTGGTTATATTGTTTTGTATGTTGCTAGATTGAAAGGTATGGTTATGGAGAAATAATTTTTCTAAAATTTTTGTTTATTTTAAGTGTACTTTTAACCTCTCTACCCACAGATTCAGGATCTGCTCAACAAGGAACAGAAAATAGAGACCCTCTACCTAACCCATGGGCACCTGGAGGAGGACCGCAAAATTCAACACCCACAACCCGACCTCCTACTGCGACCCCTAATTTACTTGGAACACCTGGAATGCAGAGTATGTTTCAACAACTGACTGATAATCCTGCTCTTTTATCAAATCTCAATACGCCACTCATGCAAAATATGTTGCAGTCTTTATCATCAAATCCAGATTTTGTTCAGCGGGTAAGATTGTTTTAGCTTTAAAAAGTTTCATGATGAGAAAAGCTTTCCCGCTTTCTTATCAGATTATTTTCTAATTAGGATTTTTATATTATGCTCTTGTCTTACAAATTTTTTATTTCTAATGTGTGGATAACAGGGGACAAATGTTTATTTTACAGTTCTTTCTTTACAACATCATGTGGGTTGCATCTAAATGGACCCATTTATATAAATTGAACTTAATAATCGGTACCTTCTTGTACAAAATAATAAATTAATTAATGTACTGACCATTATATTTAGTTTGAATGGGATCCACCTATTATATTGAATATTTTAACATGAACGGTGATCATTTGCATAGTTGCGCTGAACTCAAGGGCTGTGATAGATGACACTGTGTTATTTTACAGATCTTTGTTAATATCTCGTAAGTTGCATATAAATGGACCCATTTATAAAAATTGAATTTGATAATCCTTACTTTCTTGTACATAAAAAAAATATGCGCTGACTATAACATTTAGTTGGAATGGGATCGACCTATTATATTGAATGAATATCTAACATGTAGGTTGATCATTTGCATAGTTGGGCTGAACTCAAGGGTTGTGCTAGATGAGACTGTATGTACGGCAAAATAAGGGCAAGCTAAGGATAAATTAAATTTTAAAAAAATAAAAAATGATATATATTAATGTTTTTGGTGAAAAGTACATGGTAATTTATTTTCAGAACTTGTTTAATTTAAAAAAGTAATTTGTTAACTATAAAATATCATTCTGTTTTAATCTTTTTGAAATTTGTAATAAACGTTATGTTAAATTTTACAATTTTAAAATTTAATTTCATTCCTGTAATAACTATAGAAGAGAATACCATGCATAGAATTGAAAGTATTACATACTGAGTAATTTTTGACCTAATTATTGGATTTTTAGTAACTTACATAAGATGCTAATTAGTTGATGTGGCCTTACGATGGGTGTCGACCTTAATTTAAGTAGCATATAATCAGTCATAAAAATAACTTTAACTGAAAAAAAATATGTCTTTTCTTTCATTTTTCATTCATTCATTTCATTCATTCCCCTGAATCCTTTAAAAACATTACATTATTTAGATTCTATTTTGAAAAAAATTTATTCATTGTTTTTAAATAACAATCACTGGTAAAATTATTTGTGTTTCTAGGTTTAATTTTGATTACTACTACACATATTTACTTAGTTAGAATTATTCTCAACTGGTTAAATTTGTTTAAGTACCTTTTTTTTGGGGGGGGAATTATTATAAATTTGAGTAATTTTTAAATACTTTTAAATTTTTTTTTTTTAAAAATGCATCTTCCAATATTTATTTTCTTATAATTTTCATTTTAGAAAGAAGCTTTCAAGTTTATCAATTAGTCATCTTATGCAAGTTTACTTTTTTTGAAAAAAAAAAAAATGCTCTAAGATTGCTTTATAGCATGCATTTAATTATTTGTATAAACTACAAATCTTTCTCTTATTTTATTAATGAGAAAGAAAATATACTATTATAATTTATAATTTAACTATACTAATAAAATAGTATGAGAGGATAATTTAAAAATTGTTGACAATAAAATTCAGTTATTACATAATATTACACATTTTGATAAATATTTATGCTAATTGAGTGCCCTTTCAAAACTCAAGGAGCCCTTTTCTGAGAGGAAGTACCTAGCCCTTTTTTATTCCTAGGGAGAACTTAGGTTAAGAATTAGTTTGTTGGATACAAAGATTTATTCAGATGAATTCTATTAAACTGTAAAAATGTTAAAATTTCATAGTAGAATATTTTTTGAAATTTTTTCTTAGAAACTATTATTTTTGTTACATTTTATGGAGTTCTAGATATTTAAAATCAAATAGTTTAAAAGAGTGTAAGAAATTGTATATCGTGAATTCAAAATTCTATTATTATGAAATTAATTGATTGATAATCTTTTTCAAGAAAGCTTTGGGGTAAATCAATTCTATAATTAAGCACAAATATTGTTTGCTTACCTCAATTAGTTTTATATTTTTCTTTCTTATTTTCTGACTAGTCTTGATAAAGATATTTGAAACCGTAACTTCCAAATTTGAGGCTCTGTCTATTACATCAAAAATCCAAATCTTTCAAAAGAAAAAGTGTATCACTTCATGTAAAATAAATAAATAAAAATACTTACTCATTGCCTGATTAGTAAACTTTGTCTGTTACCTACGCTATGAAATCTTGTGTCTTGTTGTAGATTACACATGAAATCAATTATTAGATTAAAAGATATTCAGATAATAATGATTTTTATTCATTGTCTAGGACTGTTTGTTGTGGAAAATATTGTTATGATTATAAATAAATATTTTAAGTTAGTTAATGATTAAAATTTCCAGTTTCAAGATCAATAAGTTTTATTCCTAAAATTTAATTCTGAATCCGACTTGTTATATATTATTTCTTTCCTAAGTTAAATATAATATGCCTATTTTGTACAACTAAGCTGATTATTTGATTATGTAAGATTGTCATTTGAGTTTTTTTAAATTTTTTTTTTTCATAAATAGAAGGTAGATTAGTAAATGCATGTCACAAATCAATAAACATCTCCACTTAGATATTATTTAACCTCTGTGTTTTTCATATTTCCTTGCATGCCCTACAGTTTCAGAAAGAAAAAAAAAAGAATTATAGTCTGAACATCCTTATTGAAATGTCATATTTTCTATTATTAATTTTTGGAACATTTGTATATTAAAATCTTAATTTTACATTAATATCCATTAATTTTACATTGTTAAGTACTTTTCTAAATGTTCAATTCAATAATTTCAATGCATCCTCTTTGATTCATTGTCCTTTTCCTCTTTAATTCATTATCATACTTTGTTGAAGTGTACTTACTATGTATATTCTTAGTGTATTGATAGGTTTTAGATTCCTACTAATGTAAATTTTAATACTTGTCTAATGTAATATGCTACTAAGAGTTTTTTTTTTTTTTTTTTTTAAATTTGTTTAACACTTTTTTATTCTATATTTTACAGATGATATCAAGTAATCCTCTTCTTTCTAGTAATCCTGAATTACAACAGCAAATGCGTAATATGTTACCGCAGATGATGTCTCAAGTGAGTATTCAGTAAAAAAAAATTTAAAGATTTTTTTTTTAAAGTTACTTAGCAAGTTTAAATTTTTCAAATTTATTTATAAATGTATTATCATTAGTGCTTCTAGTAATTCATACTGAAAGAGATACATTTTTATAGCTTATTCATTTACAAACAAACCACATCCTGCTCTAAACTTCGTGAAGTTGAAGGATTAATGCTCTCGTATTTTCTAGCAGGGTGCGTAGAGTTTTTAAAAAGTGCTTAAAGGTGCTTATTTTCGTTTTTTAAAAGCCCTTAGAGGTGCTTTTTTCATTGGGTGTTCTTATAAAGTGCTTAATTTTCCCTTTTTTAAAATGAGATTTTTCTTTTGCTATGTTGGATTTTTGCTTCGAATTATGCAAAAAGACACAGTTCACATTGTTCTATTCAACGTCTTCACAATTAATTCAACCCCAATCTATTTCTGTGTATTGTCAGTCCGTAGCCTCTGAAAACACCATTCGTTTTACATGATTCAAAATTTCATAATTTTTGACAATTGTCAAAAACAATGCCAATTTTTTTTTTTTTTTGACGAGGCGGTTCAAAGAAGTTAATTGTCAAACTTTACAAACCTGCCTAATTATATTTTTTTAAAGTGCTTAAAAATATTTTTTAAGTGCTTGAAAAGTGCTTATTTTTTGTTGAATAATTTCGCTACGCACCCTATCTAGTAAATTTTTTTCTATTCATCATTATTTTTATTTTAAATACCTTCTAGTTTGTAGTTTAACAACAAACTTAAGGTGTTCTTTCTCATACTTTTAAACTATGGTTAATAAATATTTTCTCAATTAAATACCTTAAAGCCTATATTCATGTTTAAAAAATAACGCTTTGTAAAACAACAATTAAATGTTATGCCATTGAATAATAAAAATAACATTTACTTTAACTGAAAAATAGCTCTTCAACTAGGAAAATCTATCACTTTAGTTAAAACATTGAATGCTGTGGGAGTCACCGGTGACTGGCACTGAGTTTGTTCGTAGCGCCACAGGGGTCACTTATGACCGGCGAAGCCAAGATTGTTAGAAACACATAATTCGAGTAAATTTTTAATGCTTTTAATTTTTTATATTTTCGCTGCTAAAATGGTTTGAAGAAATTAATGCAATATGGAACACACAAAAAACATTTTGGTCAGGCTGACAAGCCATGTAAAATTAGCATGGCATTCAACGACTTAAGCATATCTGTTTTCTCTCTCTCTCTCTCTCTTTTTTTTTTTTTTTTTTTTTAAATTTTTATAATTAAGAATTACAATAATTCTAATCATTAAAAAAAAATATTGTTTTTTCTGGTAAAATATTGATTTTTTTTTATTTGCTTTCAAGTGCAATAGCCAATAGTTTCCTCCTAATTTTTTTTTTCAAATTTATTTACTTGGATGTAATTATAGATAGCTTCAAAATTAAAGTATATAATTCATTATGAAAATAAGTATTTTAATTTACTCTTTAGAAAATGACTTAAACAAAGGCCTTCAGACTTTTGCATTTAATTTAATTGTTTTACTGCTATTTCTATTATAGATACAGAATCCTGAATATCAAAATCTTCTATCAAATCCTGCCGCTGTTCAAGCAATAATGCAAATTCATCAAGGTATGGCACAGCTGCAGCAGCTAGCGCCTAATGTTTTCAGGTAATTTAATTTTATCTTAGTTGGATCAGTCCTAGCTGATCTTGACACTGATCTGTATATTATATTTGCTTTAGTATTTTATATACTCTGGCATTGTTCATTAATGTAATTATTAGTTACAAATTAATTTATATTAAATTTTAAAATAATTATGAATCTTAACCTTGGTTTTAGCAAGATCTTTGAAGGTCTGTCAAATCAATCCTTCTGAACTGCAAGAAAAGGAATCCATTGATTGAATGCTCAATCTAAAATATTTGCTTTTGATTACTGGTTCAACATTTTGAAATTTTTTACCATATGAGGGAATACTTAACTGTTTTGTCACCATGTTACATATCTACAACAAAAGCAAATAACCTGTATTTTCACAAGAGTTTTCGAAGACAATTTTAGCGATTATTTTAATTCTGTAACAATGCTCTTAACATACCTTGTTTTATTTTTTCTACTATATGGTGCTACTAAAGTGATATTTTTGGAATTGAATTTCAATTTGTTGCTTACAAAATTACGAAGTTTATTTCAGGCATCATACTGAAATAGAAATTGAAATGATTGAATTTGATTCAAATCTTTGAATCTTTATAATTTTTCACAATGTTCCAGAAAGGCAACAACCATTTTTTGTCATTTTGCATAATGTTGTAGGAATGCAACATACCATTTTTTACAATAATTTTTTAAATTTTAAATTTTTTTATGTGCTTAAAATGGTTTCTAAGTTATTAGCAATTCTTTTTTTTCAAATTGGAAGTGTATGTGTAGAAAGCATAAATTTAAATAATTAAAAAAAACTTGAAATTTTTCATCCTATGGAACTTAAGCTGCTTTTACTTTCAAAAAGAAATGTAACCAAAGTTCGCTTTAATTTTTATGAATTTGGCTATTAGTTAAAACGCAAAATCATTTTTAATTAAATAACAAGTTACCAAATCTTTTGACACTTTAAAAATGGTGTTTTTTTATTAATTTAACAATTGTACTAATGCGATTTATTATTTTTAAAGATTTTCTTATAATGCTTGTAAAATGTGTCTTAAAATTCATTTTGTAAATATTCAGTATATTTTTAAACTAATAAATCTTAACTCCATTTTAATTTCACTAATACAAAAAAAAAAATTAAAAAGAAATAATTGTTTACAGATATTATGAAGGGAATTCAACCATTAGTCTTTACAATTTTATTATTTTAAATAAGTGAAAAATGTCCATGTATGCTTCAAAAGTATTTTTTTCTCAAATAGTTCAAAACTTTGTTTTACTTAAGTGTACTATTGCTTTTGCTTTTTACCAGTCTTTTTTTTTTTTTTTCATTTTTAAAAAAATTCTTACAATGCATGTTAGTGAAATATTTTGATGGAATTGTAGAATTATTTTTAAACATTTAAGTATTAAGTGTTATTGTGGTCCGGGGGTACCCCGGAATTCCGGGTTTTTCGTATTATCGTTCCGGGTATAAAATCGGGAGCTTTTCCTTTCAGTTTCGTCAAAAATCACAAATTGAATAGAAAGTTCGCAAAATAGCGATAAACGCTCTTTTGTAGCAACCCTCAGGCAAGGATTCGTACTACGCTGGTCCGAGGCTAGGAGCAGTAGTGGAAGGCGGGGGAAGGGGGTGAAGAGTGTGAGAGAGGGAAGAATTCGTTTCTTCTCCTTTTGCTTGTGTTGGGAAAGGCATGACGCTGGAGGGCGGATTGGGGGGAAGGAGAATGCGTGACGCTGTTGTGGGGAGGGATTGGGAAAAGAAAATCTTTACTGCTTGGCGAATTTTTTGGAATTAAAAGCAGAGGCTGTAGGTGTAGGGTTGTAGATTTTAGTTGCGCGCTGCACTACTTGTCAGCACGTGTTAGAATTTTCACAGCCGAAAGATTTTTCTTGTGCACGTTTTGTGTTGAATATTCGGCATGCATTTTTAAAGTAATTTCGTTAATCGAATTTTTTAAGTAAGCATGAAGTTCTTAACAGAAAAAGATGACATTAGCGATCTAGAAAAAGACTGCAAGAATAAGTTTTGTTTTGAATGGTTAATTAAAAAAGACATTTTGGAAGAAGAAATCAACGTGTGGTGCCGCAAGATTGATACACCAGGTACATGTTTCTGTATTGCGTGCAATACATCAATCAAATATCACAATGAAGGGTTTAAATCCTTGATGAATCATTCTGGAACAGTTGTGCATAAGAAATGTCGTCAATCTGTTAAAAATTCCCAGATTTTAAATTCCCTTTATCCTGGATCAGAAAATCTGACTCATACTGATGAATCACGTACCGTCGATTTGGTCACTCGAAAATCTAAGGCTGAAGCTCTTATTCTATCATTTTTGGCTGAACATTCAATTCCTTTTTCTTTAGCTCCACAAATTGTGGAGTTAACTAAAACGTTATCACGTGATACCATGGCCTTAAATTCATTAGACATCAGTAGAACAACAGCATTATATAAGCTAAAATATGGACTTGCGAAAACAATGAAAGAAAATCAGTATGAAGTTTTAAAGAATTCTTTTTTTTCTCTCAACATTGATGAAAGCACTAATAGAGCCTCTGAGAGTATTTTAGCTGTACTTGTTAGATACTTTGCTGAGGACCAGCACAAAGTAATTTTGTGACATTTAGCTTCAATTAAATTGCCTGCTTGTAATGCAGAATGCATTTATAATTCTATTGTTTCAATTTTCAGGGAAAATGGAGTGCCATTTTCAAATTTAATAAGTGTATTAATGGATTCCTGCAATACAATGCGTGGGGAAAAAAATGGTGTTGAAACTAAAATTAGATCCATCAATGCTCCACATTTGTTGGACATAGATGGAGAAACATGCCATAATGCAAACAATTGCTCAAAACAATTTACAGGGCCATTTTTGAAGCATTTGGACATTTTATGTGACAACATATATTTTGATCTTAAGAGTGCTGATAAAAGGGAATTATTTTTCCAAATTTGTTCAGTTCTTCAGTTGAAGTTACTGAAACCTTTAAATAGACCTGACCACAGATGGCTCTATATGCTTCAAGTGCTTGAACGTCTACAATATTTATGGGATGCTCTTTTAATATTTTATTTTTCGTGGGTTGGATTGGACAAAAAATTGTATGAAAATGATATCAAGGAAGTTTTTTTTCTAAAAGACAACTTTCTAATGAAGAAATTGAAAGTCTTCAAGATATTCAATTACAACTGGAAAAGAAGCATCTCACTGATGATGGAAGAAATAGGAAAAAAAGAATTATTCAAAGACTTTTTGTTGAGCAGAGAAAGACATTATTACAAATTGGTATTTATCAAGCTGTTTTGCCCCATTTTAACAAATATGTTAAATTATTTCAATCAAATGAATGCCTTTTACATGAACTACATGTTCAAATGTTTAATCTGACTAAGCAGTTCTTTGCCTTTTTTTTAAAGCATGAGCTCTTGTGCAACATTAAATGTTATCAGGATGTCTTTAAAATCGACCCCACAGATTCTAAAAATTATTTGCCTGACAGACTCATTTTCTCTGGAATGAATGCTGCAGATACCAGTAAGAAAAAAAATTCTACTATTCAGGACTTCTTAAAGGTGTTGAAAAAAAGTTACTCTAACTGTGCATCTTATATGCAGAAGAAGTTACCGTTGAGCAATCATTTGTTAATTAAATTATCTGCTCTCATTCCTGTTCTGAGGGGAGAAACTACAACTTTTCTGGCACTGATGAAGCTGGCAGAATTTTTGCCAAATGTTATTTCAAAGCAAGAACTACTTAAGCTGGACTTAGAACTAAGGCAGTATCAGACTGATGATTCTTTGGCTTTTTTTGAAAGCCAGTCTATGATGGAGTATTGGTCAAAAGTGATTGAACTTAAAGAAGGCAATGTAAAAAAAATATCCTATTCTTTCAAAGATGATTAAAGCTCTTTTAACATGTTTTCACGGACCATCAGTTGAGAGTACCTTTAATTTGATGGGTGACATCATGTCTGAAAATAGAACTTCTCTTAATATTGAATCCATAGATTCTATTCAAACAACAAAATATTATCTTTCCTCTCTTAATGCCAGTACTTGTGAGGTTTTTGGCTCTAAAGATCCTGCACATGAACCACTAAACCGTGAATTTGTGGTTCATGTGCATTTGTGGTTCATGAATCATAATTTGATCTACAGTTGGTCGAATTACCAGCAGTCTCTTGCAAAAACTCTCCCTAATGCTACTATTCATGTATCTGAGAGCCATGTGGATTCTCCACTTTCCTGCACTGCTAAATCTTCTCCAGTTCAAAGTAAAAAGCACTGTGATTCTCAAAAAGAAGACAGAAAAAGAAAATTGGCTCTTGACTCTCAGAAAGAACATTTGTCTAAGACTAAACAAACAAAACTTTAATCTTTCTTTAAGAGATAGATATTAATTTAGAAATTTGATGTTTTTTATTTTGAATAAAATATTTAAATTTTTTTAAATTAATTTTAAACTTTAAATTATCTGTCAGTTTGATTGCATAATATAATTAATCCATTTAATGAAATTTATGAACAGTTTTATAAATGATTAAAAATTATATGCATATTTTTGTTACAATTGAAATGTAGTTGTGTCAAGGGGATTGTAAACATGTAACTATTTAGAAATACATAGGATTCTTGTATATATTTACGTTACATTTGTGTTAATTCAGCTTAAAATTTACTAATATCCTTGACTTGTACTTGTTAACATGATATAGAACATCTTCAGAATAACCTTTTCTTTCTTTATGNTGAGTTTTTGCATATAAAGTTTTCAGGGTTTTTTACTTCATGTCACAATCACCCCTGATTAAGTCTTTTTCAATTAAAAAAAATATTAAAAATCAGGCAAACCTTGCATGTTTTTACTTTTGAACTTCAATCTGAAGTAAAATACAATGGTATTGATATTCTAAAAATTATTTTTGTGCTTGAACATTTTCTTTTGTTACAGATTTATTTATTTTAAGATTTCTGATCGTGTAGTTTTGTTTCAAAATGAATTATATTCTAATATGTTATCTCATGAAACCACTGTATCGCGATGTGTAATTGATGATTATATATCAGGATATAAAATTTATTACAAATATCTATGAGGAAAAAAAAACAATATAAATTATCCTATCTTAAGCAACTACCAATTTATTATGCCCAAAACAGAACTGAATGAATAGAAACATTAATATTCGATACATCTAAATCAAGTGCTTCACCCGCAACCAAAAATGGTAGAAATTCATAAAATTACATTAAACTGAAGTTAGAAAAAAGGAACCAAAGCTAAAAAACCATTCTTAATCTGAAAAAGAGTGAATAATATAAATTTCCCCCCGAACAGGAAACTTAGATGGTTCGAATGCATATCTCCAGTAATATAAATAAAATAATTTGATTGGTTAGAATTAAACACATATCAAAATCATTCTCATATAACTCTTTTTAAATATTTTACAGGCAAGGTAGTTTCCCTCCTGGAACTCCTACCACTACAACAGGTGCTACTCCTGCTACACCTACAACATCCCCTGTATCAACTACTACAAATAGTACATCTTCAACTACTACTACTACCAATTCTGCCGCAACTCCTCCTAATATAGATCCACTAAGTATGAATAACCAGGAAGCCTTTACTCAGCTAATGGCAAATATGCTATCTACTATGGCAATAAATGACCAAGTAAATATTTTACTAAAGTTTTATTCATATACAATCAAATTAATTTATTACAAGCCTTGATTTAACTAGATTGCTTGTTTGACAAAACCACTTTTGGGCAATTCTACAGAAAAATTAACCAGATGACCAAAATTTTAAATTTAATATTTTTTAGCAAAGTAGGTTTTGTTTTCAAGATAAAAAAAAAAGAAGTTTTAGAAATATTAGCTTTAAGTTTATAAATTTCAATTTTCCATAAGCTATAGGGTGTTAAATGAAGGGCTAAATCATTTGCAATTTTTAACCATGTAAAGTGAATCTCTAACGAGTACAGCTTTTTGAAAAATTCACTCTAATAATAAAAATAGAATAAATAATTTAACTGTATCAAAACTGGTCATCTTGCACAAATGTTTAGAAACATGTGCATTTACAAAACAATTCCTAAGATGTACTTTTGATATTTTACGTCTGACATCAAAATACATAATCATACTGTTTCCAATAAGATTTAATACAGTAAAATCATCTTTTCTGTTTAAAGCAAGTCTCTAAATCTGATCTGTATAGTTCATTTGGATTTTTTTTAAAATTATTATTTTAATTGTAAATTAATAATTATTTTATACGTCCGACCCCACTACTTTTCATTACATTTGTTTTTATCTTATATTTTACTTTTTTTTATAAATATGAATAAGAATGGTCCAACTATCCCTTTAGGTTAATTTAGAATAATGTGTTTCTCCTCAGCAACTTAATAAAATCTGCATATATATAAAAAAAAATTTTTTTATGAGAAAAGCAATTCACTCATGTTAAGAAATTGTTCTTTAGTTTAAGGTTTAAGTGCATGCTTATACTTGAGCTAATATGAATGATTACGAAAGGCTTGCCATACACATTCAAATGTAAGTACCAAACATTGCTAATGCAAGCAAGGACAAGGCATAGTTAGGGCGTATTGCAGTGGGGACAAATAAAGTTTTTGTGCATCTGATATGCCTATAATATATATAGATAATATCAAACTTAAGNATATATATATCCACAGGGCTCTCCACTAAATAAAATAAAAGGTAGATCAATAACATTGTCTACTTTGATACATCAAATGCAGTAGATTGTAAAAACTGTAGAAAACTATCATTTAATTTTATCCAGGTGATAAATATAGTAATAAAATTTACCTTTTACCTGTGTGAAAAGATCTTTCTTTTTCGATGAAAAAATTGTTACAGGCAAATAATTGTAAAAAATTGCACTAAGAAAAATGTACAGCAATATATTTTTCAAGAGTTTTTATTGTATTCAAAAATGTGAAACTTTGATAATTTTTTCTCCCATTGTATTTATAAGTAAAAAATTTTAAAGACTGTTATTAATTTTTTTCTCCAGGATTATAAAAATGATTAGATTTAAGGAAATAGTGCTTAAATATGAGTTGTATTTACATTGCTGTTCATATACACTGCACAGTTATAATTAAAATTAGTGATTTTTCAATTAAGTTTTACAAGATGGAAAATGTTGTAGAAGATATTGATCCACCTATTCTGCTGTGCAATTGAAAAAAAGCAACATAAGTGCCTCACGATAGATTTCAAGAAAAGTGTCTAGATAACTATTTTCTTTGGCTAATGCTGTGAGCGTTAAAATAGACTAAACAGTACTTGTTCTTGGCAGTGTTCTCTTAATTCTGCTTTCTGCATTTTGTTAGAAGAAAGAGTAGAGATGTTTTGAAAATGAGTTTCAGCAATTTCTTATTTGTTTCTTTGCTTATTAGAAATAAAAAGAAAAACGTAAATGCTGCTATTATCTGCAATGCTCCCGCCGTGCTGGATGGTGTCTGCTACTGGCTTTTAGGCTAATTGGAAAAATCCAGCTATTTGTAAACTCTCAAAGTTGCTTTGATGTGCCTACAAGGCTCACAGCATGAAATTTAACAAATGATGTTAGCAGTTTGCAAAAAGCCAAAATTTCCTATTAGTCTAGGAGTTATCAAAAAATGTCATTCGAGTGGAGGGTAACAAAAAGTGTGGCATTCTACAATTTGATTAAAATAAATGAGTTAAAATCAGCAGATGAAGTAGTTTAAAATTATTATTTTTATATTTTCCCCCCAAAATTAATAGTGCATATCTAATTTCCTCAAAATGTTCACAAATTTCATCAAAAAGTAGAATTGAAGTTTAAAAATAAAATTTCAAACTTGATCTATTGGGTGCGTTTTGTTTTTGAACTTCTTTAATATTCTTATATAATTTAATGTGACTTGTGACAAGGGGGGGGGGTAAGGGTATGACATATTGTGATAAAGGGGAGATGGGAAGCCACTAGTATTGAGAGAAAAATGTGTGACAGCAGTCTGTCATTAATGTTTGTAATATATATATAAAGCATTTATCATTAAAATTTGTGTTGTCATAAAAATATTAATACATACCTGCTAAGTCTCCTGTTTTAAATCAAAGACTCCTATATTTTATGACTTATATATTATACTACTCCTATATACTATATTACTATACTATATATACTATATATTAATTATCCTATATACTCCTATATACTTACTCCTATATATTATATTTTAAACCATTCCAGTTTTTCTCTTGTTAACCGAAAATTGTGAGAACTATCTAAATTTATGTGTGTAATTTATTTACAAAGTATATGTATTTATAAAAAGATATGTGTAAAAAAACTAAAAATTTAATTTTTTTAATCTTAGATTAATTAAATCAAAATTTATATATTAGATAACTTGTTTCATGGGTTAAATGAAAAAATTAGCCTCTGACTGTTTAAAATATAAATTATTGCAGCTTAAGACTTTTTTATGCCTATGTTTAACATTAAAAAGTTAAGTTAAACTAAAAATTATTAGGTGGTAATTTTTCTAAACTTTTCTATTTCAGCAACAACAACAGCAGCAGCAACAACAACAACCTCCAGAAGAAAGGTATCGGTCCCAACTAGAACAATTGGCTAATATGGGGTTTGTCAACCGTGAAGCTAATTTACAAGGTACTTTTTCTATTATTAATTTACTTTTTACCAAAATTTCAATATGTATGCTTGAAAACTATTTTTTAAGTCTCATAGCACTTGTTAAAAAATGTTTTGAATATCATCTCTGCTGTATGCAAGTTTTTTTTTTATTGAAGTTTTCATAATTTTCTTAATAGAGTTTTCTTTCCTACTACTTCAATTCATTTCAATTTCATTAGAATAAATTACATGAAAACTGATATAAAGCTAAGAAAATAGCCGTCTCTAAAAATAAAAATCTATTAATATAGGTTTACTATTCTACTGTATGTCTGTCATTATTGGCTTCATAAGCTTTATTCTTTTGAATATTTTTTATATGAAAAACCAGTTTAACAGTGGGGGAAGAAATGCATGATTTGCTTCAAGCTAGATAGGTAACTTGGTATTTATTCTCAAAACTAAGTGTGAAGCTTATCAATAGATTCCACTACTGATTTAAGTAGCTGTGAAACAATATTGTCGGGAAAAATATACTTGAGGGTGCTCCTTGGCGAAATTGGCGACTTATATTTGGCCTATTTCAATAAAACAGTGGAAAACTTCAAGATATCGGTCAAAACTTGCAATGAACCCAATCTAAGCAAATTAATAAACCTAATAAAAGCATTTTGAATCGAAGTAAAAATTAATGGAGTAGACGCGGAAAGAAAAGGGAATAAACAACTCACTTCTTCATTAAGCTTAAATATTCTCAGATTTAGGTGCACAGAATTCTCTAATAGCAGTTAGATAATGTCTAAATTTATCATTAATACAATCTATGTACATCCATCTGCACATAAATTTGGCGAAATACGAATCGAAAATTGCGTCTGTAATACCGGACTAACAGTGAAATTTTTTTCTGAAGTCCTTTTTTATGACTGCCCACATACACATCTTATTGTCCAAAAACAAAAGTAACCTTACCAGCCAGTATCCAACGTAGAACTAACGGACCTCTGAAATTACTTTTATCGTTGAACATTTAAAAATGACGCTAAAATCTAAACCAATCAGAATGACGATTGGGTTTCAATATCGCCTAGCTTGGCGATCAATCACGATCACATCTTGGCGAGAATCAATGGGCACCCTCAAATATAGGCTACCCATATTGTCTATTATATCAGATCATTTCAATCATCAGATCATTTCAACTAAAATGTTTTCAGTTTTATCTGTTAATTTTAATTTCGTACTGCACAACATAGATGTAAATGGCGGATACTTTGAAATTGTTTTTAGTTTTTTCAATTTGTAGTGTCATCCATTGAGGAACTAAGTTACGTTAAGAGTTTTGAAAATCTATGAAGATAAATTTCTGGGTTAAACACAGTAAGCTGTCGGGGTTCCCACGGTCCTTGAGAGTCCTTGAAAGTCCTTGAATTTTTTTTTGCTAAATTTAGGTCCTTGAAAGTGCTTGAAAAACGTCTTAGGTCCTTGAAAAACTTGATAGGTCCTTGAATTTGTCCAATACTGCCGGCGGCGCTTTTTATAAAACACCCGCGGATCTTTCTCGTTCTTTCTGTTTTGTTCCCAAGCTCTCTCATGTGGTTTTTAACGCCACCGTTTCTAACCCTGCCTAGCGTTTTGGTGTCTGCCAAGCGCGCGGAGCACAGCACACAATCAATGCGTTCGGGGTGAGACTCCACTTCATCTTCTGTCGCATATGCTTAGATCTTCTTCTTTTTTTTTTTATCGAAACTGGAATGCTCTCGAATTTCGTAACAATATGTACCTTGTAGTTTTCAATAAATTTGTCGTTTTACCATCCGCGCTCGTCCTTACGTTTGCGTCATTTCAAAACTTTATTGTAAAGCGTATTCGCAAAAGGCACGGCTTCGTATTTGTGTTATGTAGTTTAGACTAGTTATGCCTGGGAAGTGCTATTTTAATCCCCAATGGATGGATAATCAAGCTTATAATAAATGGATTTTATCGACGCCCGAAAAGAAGTTCAGAGCCAAGTGCCGATTATGCATGAAGGAGATC